CAATACCCATGAGTTCTCCTTCCCAATAGTTTAAAAGTATCATTTTTGTTATTTGCATTCTAGTTTTAGTTAACTTCAAAACCAACCAAACATTCGATTGCACTTAGATTAAGTTAGTACTTGCATTCTCGGTGCTTTTAAATCCCTCAGAACTGGTTCGACAACTTACTTCACTATACAACATTTGACTAGGAGCCTTAAAAACTCTTAACATCAGAAACGACTCTAAATGGTGCACTTGTGCAATCGCCGTCTTAATCGAAGTTTGATTATTTGGATTAGTTGTATGCAATATATCTAGATGATTTTTTTTATAAGCTGCATTGTCTTATAGTACTTGATTATGAAGAAACAACTTTATAAGTTAGCGAATGAAATATTTGAAACTTTTTTTTTCCAGAGACTTGAAACTTACTCAAGGCCATAGCTCCTTGTCGTCTTATTCTTTGCTCACCTACAAAGAAAGTACGTCTTGTATATTTATCTTATTAAAGTTGTTAGCATATAAACTATGACCCACGCCTACCAAACTGTAAGATTTAGCATTTGGATTAACCATGTGTTGAACATAGTCAATCTTGCGATACTCATATATTTGATGGGTCATCCATCTCCGTCTAATTTGTGGTTTGAGGTGTTTTATTTGTAGTATTTTCAAAATTATGTATCGGATTTGAGGTACCATGCATTATTATCATAAATCATGCAATGCAAGTCCACACGCCTAAATAGTAAATACTCGAATATTTTGCCCACCATAATAGGCAAACTATTTTGTCTATACAAGACATACAATGTACAACATATGAGTTTAAACATATGAGTTTTAACATTTTACCAAAAAATAAACCTGAGTTTAAACTGGTATTGGATTTTTCAAACACGTCATTTTCTTTTCGAGGATCAAATATTAAGTCGAGAATACTGGTTGTAGACCAAAACTTACAGTTCATTCGACCTAACTTAAGATAAACTAAAAAGGAAGAAACCTGAAAGTGACATGATTTTCGTGGGATCACAATTTCCATTGGTCAGTCAACTGATAGTTTTATCTTTTATCCCTAGGAGATGCAAATCATGCATTATTAACTTGAAAGTGACCAAATATGCAAAATATGTGGTTTGTAAATGTAATTAACACTAACCAAATAAGTCTAGTTATATTCTTATATCACTATTGTTTTAAAAAGATGAAATGAGAAAAGCATGCAAAATGAAAAGAGAGTGAAAAGGAAAGGAAGGCGGGAGTGGCAATTCAAAACTAACTAAAGAAAAGAAGAAGCGAGTCAAAGTAAGGCAACGTAATTACGTACACTAATTGATGTGTCAAAGTTAGACCGAAACTAGAGGTGCTACTTCTCTTATGAGTTTCAAGTTAAACAAGGATATTGATATGTTTCGTATTGTTGATGAATTAGTTTTGTTATACGAAATATCATGTTCAAGTTGTGTAACAGTGAGTATATTTATAACAAATTTTTTTAAAAATAATAATAATTTGACAAATTTATGATAATTATCGGCGAGTTACTCGAATATCAGTCATCCGAATATAACATTTTTAATCTTGAAAAGTTTTCATTTTCCAAGGCTGAAACCAGCCAGGCATATATAACATTAGAATTGATTTTTTTTTACGAAAATAAATGATCCATCAATACTCAATTTTTACAAAAATAAATGATCCATCTCCAAACACTTATAACATTAAAAATTGAAATTTTCTTGTCATTTGGTATCTCAAAGATTAGCTGAACAACCAAACATAAAAAATAGTATCTAATAATATAATGAATCGATGATCATTTGTCCTCAACTAAGTAGCGAAGTAGGGATTGAGTCCAGAATCGTTAAGAAAAATAAGTTAAATGACTATTATAGAGTTTTCCGAAATAGGTGGCTATAAAATACATTAGTAGACACATACTAACACAATCTATTATAGTGAAAGTACCTTACAAACCAAATTGAAATGTCTAAAAAGAACACTCGATACTTTCTTTTCCACCGGTCTAAGTCTTCCAAAGTATAGTAATAATATTAATAATCATTAAAGTAATCTCTTCTTAATCACAGTTAACACTACAACTTGGACCAAATCTATAACATCTTATATCTAACTATTATACTTGTGTCTTTTAACATAAAAGCAAACATAAAGGTAAGTACTTATTATATCTACTCCAGTTGTTTCTTTGATTTAAGAGAAAGGTTTTAGTAAGCGTTTAAAGTGAATTATTTTTATTTATTTTTTGGACAAAGCGTTTAAAGTAAATTAAAAATTGTCAAAAGATTAAAAAACAGCGTTAGTGAATATATATATATTAGAATATAGCGAAAAGTAGAAAACAAAATATTAGTAGACCGAAAAAAGCATTCAAAACAAAAAGCAAATGAGCAAAACAAAAAAATATGCCAAAAATAATATATTTACCAAATGAGATGAGCAGAAGTTACCGAACTTATATAATTAATTAAATATCAAAAATTCATATCCTTATGAAAAGCGTAAATGTAATAGTGTATATATATACAAAGCAAAATCTCATTTGTTCACACTGAAACTACAAAGCTCCCTCCCTCTCTCTCTCCTCCCATCAATTTCTTCATGACATTTCTCCTGTAGAAGAGAAGAGTTTTCATTACTCATCACAAAAAAAAACCCTAAACCTAGAATCCAAATTACTTGCTAAATGGGTCATGTTAAGCTCGCGAGTCTACTCGTAAAGCTACACAGAGTTCCATCTGGTTGGCTCTGTCTCCATCCCCGACCGGACCGTTCCATCAGCCATGTCGGAGGACACAAACGACAGATCAAGCTCGTAAGATCCGACGGTTCCTCCGAACTCTACGACCGTCCCGTAGTGGTCTCAGAGCTCACAAGAGACTTCCCAAAGCACAAAATCTGCAGATCAGACTCACTCTACATAGGTCAGAAAACTCCAGTTATGTCTGAAACCGACACGCTTAAGCTCGGACTCAACTACTTTCTCCTTCCGTCTGATTTCTTTACAAACGATCTTACCTTCCTCACTATAGCCGCGTTGAAACCTCCTCAAAACGGAGGCGTTTTGGTGAGAAAATCTGTAGGGAGTTATCAGCAGCAGCCGTTTTTTATACAGAAGGGAGGAACAGGAGAGAAGCTAAAGATTCGTGTGTCTGAAGAGTTCATGTCGGAGTTAATGATGGAAGGAAAAATATACAAAGAAAAGGAAGAAGAAGAAGAAGAAAGAGAGAGCAAGGAGAGAGTTTGTACGACGGTGAAGTTAAGGAAAGACTACGTTCAGTTAGTTTCTTTAAGAAAATGGAAACCAAAGCTAGAGACAATAAGAGAGACGAAGGCAACGGTTGAGAAGAAGAAGAAGAAGAGAAAGAAGTTTTCTATGATGAAGAAGAGATCATCATGCAGAGATTCTTCTTTGAATGATTCATGTGGGAAGCGTAAGCTTCAATCCAAGTTCAAGTCCAAAACTAAGAAAGCTATTTTGAGAAAATTAGCTTAGTTTTTGTGTTAAAGAAATTAGCAGATTGTGTACGTGTTGATAATACATAGAAGAAATTGTGAAATTATGTGAATAATATGATAAAAAAAAATTAACTAAAGGATACAAATCTTTTCCAAAACGTTTGGATTTCACTGGTTTTGTGATAATTGAATCAAAGAACTAAATTCTAAACGATGTGTTGTAACTACTATTCATTATTGTTGAACGTCAAACATTTTTTTGTTTTTGAGAAAAACATTTTTTAGTTATTATAATTTTCTTCTTGTTTGCTTTCGTTCTGTCTAAAAGAAGTTGCTTTCGTACTCAAACGTATCTTTCGAATAATGTGGAACAGCCATTCAAATATACAAGTTTGAAAATCCAATGGAAGAACTTTCTGAACTCTTCTTTTTTTTTGTGAAAGAAAACAAAGAGTTTTCTTTTTCTTTCTACTATGGCAACTTCGTTCATTGGATTTTAAGTTTTTGTTGTTTACCAAATATATTAGGAAAGGAAATAGACGAAAACTAAGAAAAGAAAAAAAGCCAAACAGGTCAAAAGCGTGGTCATAGTTACTATTTGTGACAAAGCTTTGGATGAAAAAAATATATGGGGAAGAGGTGGAAATAGATAGAGAAGCACGTGTTTGTAGAAGTTTTGTGTCAGTCTCGTTTTAGATTTTGTGAACAAAAAGTGCGGAAAAGAGACAAAAGAGGAGTCAAAGAAAGTCACCTAACGAAATCTTTTTTCCTAGCTAATACTAGTAAAATAGTGAGTGTAATGTAGCTATCACAATTTAAATCTCACTATAATCAAGAATGGAACAAGATCTACCAATTATATTCTAGAACGTCAGGTTGATAGAAAAGGATTGAGTCGCATTGACTCCATGATCCTGCCTACCTTCAGGGAGACTTTTATCTTGGAATTCTAAAATTCTGAGACTCCATTATTTTTCCTTTCTTTAAAAGCCCATCAATACAACACTCATTGCATCCGTAATATTTTTCCGAAATGATATAGGAGTAGCTTTTAGATTTTTTTACTCTAAGAGACACTTTTTGTCTTTATATTTACTCAAAGAGACACATGTTGATGGACACACACTTTCTGTGTGTATAAAGGCCAATATACCCTTGGACTAGATTTGTTTCACGAACAAAGACAATCTGGTTTAGGGCTTTTAATTTTTTCATTCTTTTTTATTTTAATTAAAAGTTAAAATCTTACCCATAATCTCTAACCCTAAACGCCGTATCTCTCTCCCTTCTTTCCTCTCTTGTTTCCATCGACGGCGTCTCTTTCTTTCATCAAAGCAAAATCACAGCGTCTCTTTCTTCCATCAAAGTAAAATAAAAACTCATTCTTCCTCCGATTCACTTAATTATCTTGTAACCATCATCATTTTAACCCCTAAACTCCCACCTAGACTATTTACAGTTGACAGATTTCCTATATATAATTTCTGAATTGGTGGGAAAAGACTGGCTTCTCCATCAGAGGTAATAGAAGTCAAAGAAAAAACACATTTATGGAAACTTTTTGTAGAGGCTCAATGGAGGTCATGGTTGTTATGGAGGAGGAAGTGGTAATATCGAGATGGGAGGTAGTTGTGGATAGGTGTGGTGGAGGTGGATGTTGATGTGGATACGACTATGGAGATGGAGGTCGTGGTGGAGGTGTGGTGGAGATGGATGTACCACAATTAAGGTTGTGGTAGTTATGAAAGAAGAGGTGGTGGATACAATAATAGCAGAGGTAGTTATTTAAGAGAAGGAAGTGATGGTGGATAGGATGGAGGTTTAAAAGGTGAGAGTGAAAGATACGGAGGTTGAGATGAGTGGATACTGGAGTGGTGGTTGTGGATACGAAGGTAGTGGATACTAAAGTCGATACGGAGTTGTGGATATGGAAGCTGATACAGAGATGGAGGTTTTGGTTGTTATGGATACGGTGGTGAAATTCAGGTGGCAGAGATGGTTACTTGAGAAGAGGAAGAATTTGCGGATAGAGACGAAGTGGAAATAATAGAAAAATGATAAAGTCTCGTCCTTTTTTAACTACAATCGAATTACGTCTAAAGGGCAAATTGGTATTAAACACACATCGATTTCATCAATTGTGTGCACCAAGTGAGATGTGTTCTTTTGTGTAGTAAAAAAGAAAAAAGTGTTCTTTTGTGTAACTCACTCTAGCTTTTATTAGGGGCAGACGTTATGATTAATGATGTTACCAGCATTAGTTAGAAAAATAGGAGTATATTTCAATTTTCTCTGTATAACTAATTTAAATCATATAAAATTGTTTCGACAAACTTTTAACCTTTTTAAAGTAACTATCCCGTAAATATTTCCTTCATCTTTTTTTAACTACTTCCTTCATTTTCTGTAAAAATGTTGTACTATTTAAAAGAGATTTTATTGTCTTTTATCATTCAAAAAGAGATCTCATTCGTGTTTTCTTTCATTTTGATGTACAATTAGAGATGGGACTAATGGAGTAATGGGTTTAAAAAATTTGGGCTCTGTTCTTTCAGTTTTGAAGGTGAAAATGCTTTTACTGTAGAGGAACCCAGTTGTTTTCACAGTTTGTAATCCAGGAAATGTCACATATTTGATCTCTCAGCAAGTGATCATAATCAAAGAATAAGACAAGTTCTCCAAGTTGAAGAAACTCATCGATATGCTCTAAGGTAGAGATCGTGTTTGTGAATACACCAAGAACTAGGTGGAGTCCATTGCTAAGTTAATCTTGAAAGCTAGTTAGGAACAAAGAGAGATCAGGTTAGATATTAGGGTAACTTAGGGTAAAAATATTATGAAACTCATAAACTAGAAAACATCCAAAGTAGTAGCAAATGAAATGATAGACACCACATTATCAATCATAAACCAAAAAGAGTATAACCAAATAAATACTTTCATCAAAGAAATCTAAAACCACACATTTAGTTTACTTGAGAATTTCAAATCCGCAACTCGAAATCTTTCCTCAATGATCATATCAATTCTCCTTTCCATTTCGGGAGTCAGATAATTCTTTGAGTCACCAACTTCCCCTTTACGGAAAAAATTCTTGTGTTCCACGCCTCTTGCCGTTTTTCCCGTCTTGTTAACCTCCAAGTTCTTCAGGTTACGCAAGGAGCAAAGGTTTAAGATCTCTTCCACACATCCACTCTTTTCTTCTTCCACTGAAAAAGGAACACCCAAGAACTCAGCAAGTCTCTTAAGCTGATCACTCGGCTCTATCTTCAACTCCTCGTACCTCAAGAATAGCACATTCTTGGAGTCTTCCAAGCTTCCTCTCCAATAGCTCAACACATGCTCCCAAAACGGTCCATAGTAGCTGACCCCTCGACAAAAGGACTCGAACATCGTCTCCAACAAGCTTCTTTCCTCTTCTACCTTGATCTTTAGATTAGCACACTCAAAATACCAAAGAGACACCAACGCGTCCTTCACGTTCCTCCAAATGTACACGACCTTACATGGAGTGTTCTTGAGAGCTTCTTGAAGCGTGTGGAACGGTACGTGAGTTGAGAATAGCCTCGGGGTTGATGAGAAACTTGTCAGATCTGGTTTCGAAGTTTCGGTGTATAGCCTGAGCTCGAGGACTGGTACTAGACCATGAGGGTTGTCGGATAGAAGAGGATGGTTGGAAGAGTTTTTTGATCTCTCTAGGAGAGCCACTGTGAGAGCTTTGAGCCATGTAGTGCCGGATTTAGGAAAAGATGAGATGATTATATCGGTTTCTTGGGGTTTGAAACCTCTTTGGAAGTTGAGGATTCCTTGCAGAGTTTTCTTGTCGTACCAACATGTTTGGTACTTGAACAACTTGGTTCCATTGAAGTCTATGTCTGAAGGAAGTGTAGAGATCAAACTTATGGTTTCTTGTTCCTCTCTTTGGAGGTTAACCTTTGAGATCTCATTCACATCCATTTTTTTCTTATTTTTTTTTTTGTTGTGGTTTACATGTGCGTTGTCAATTATCACATCACAACCACCATTATTTATTGTTTTGATAACGCCGTTTAGAAGATAATGAATATAATGAAAGAATATAATTATTTAAATGTGGTAGATTTTTGTTTTTAACACAAAATGTGGTAGTTTAGATTTCTTTCTTAATGGGTCAATAAAAACATTTTGATTACATATGTAGAATTAATAAAGACTTTATAGTATCCTAGTCCCCAAAGATATTTGTTTAAATATGTTAGACAAGGTTGAGCCTGAAACAAGCCAACGTGAGTATAAACATTAGATGTAAACTGAAAACAATAATATTATCAAATCTTTACGAAGTTTGAACGTGAGATAAAGGGAAATGTCTACAAATCCAGCACTTATGGCTTATTACAGACTTAATTAAAAATATGCGGTGAACACTGGTGCAATCAGGCTTATGTGAAATAGGTACTCCATGGGAGAAGGATCACCACAAGAAAACATCCCACCACAAATGCAACGAAGATAGATATAAGAGCAATTGTGACAAGTGCCATGGCTCGTGTGAGAGCTGTCTGTATCTGTTCAAACTCACTTAGATTGTATGCCCAAATGAGATGCATTACGGTTGCAACAGATGCAAGCATTGTAATGCTGTTGCAAAACATAAACACTATGAATATTGCTTTCTTGACAAAACCTGTGGTGTCAAAGTCGGGATCAGAACCCATGTAAAGCTTTGTGCATGTGAAACCCATAGCAAATGTCACAGTTACTAAAATTACTATAAACACCATAAAAATTCCGATATCTTCATTTGATCTGCATGTTGCATGCCGGTCAGATTTTCTTTGAGGCTGTGAATCACTCAAGGCCATGTAATCCAAGTTGGTTAAATCTCTAGCTGTAATAAATTAAACCCATGATGATAGGAATCTACAAGAACGTAACATGTTTATAAAAGCAGATTCAATTTTTTTTTTGTTTGAAAAAGGGTTTAGGGAAATTAATTAAGATTCACAAATTAGATCATAAACGTTGACAATGAAAAAAAAATCATAAACTCTCCTTTTTAATGGAAATCCATAAGAATAATTAAAACTTAAACATGAAAATATATATGCACTCAAACGTTACCTCAGGCGCTTTTGAATCTAGTCGACGGAGGAGGAAGAAGAAAAATGTTGAAGTTTTAATTTTGTCAAGAAAAATTGGTTAGCAACAACACTATTTGATATGATCAAGCCATTGACTTAGTAAAAATAAAATAAAATAAAAAAATCTGAGAGTTGCATACCAATCAACATCAATGCTCTAGCTGGCCAAGAAGCAGTTAAATGGTATAAGGTCGTTCCCTTCGGTCTTTCTTTTCTCTATGTGTGTTTGGTCTTTCTTTTTCTCTATATACGTTTCTTCTCTTACCTCTTCTAAGTGTTGTCTTTTAGTTAATACAAGAGTCATTTTCCTAAGATCTTCCCCCCTCTAAAAAACTTTTTTTAGGACATGTATAACTTGGGTTTATGTATTTGTTCAATACAATGTGGTTTAGTTTAGGGTTGTTGTATTTTTGTTCAATATAACTTGGGGTTGTTTACTTAATATTTAAATGTTGAAAGTTAAGGTTAGTTAGTGCATATTCTCTAAAAAAAAATATTTCAAAAGGTTGCGAGACGAAATGTAAATACATCAATCCATTATACCACCACAAAGTTATAGACTGAAACATAAAGACCATAAAGAGACTTTAATTTGAAGCGAAAATATTTGTGAAAAAAACAAAAGTGGATTAATATCAAAGAAGAAAGTCGCAAACGTGGACAGCTCACTACTATTAGTAGAAGAATGTGGAGGATGAAGAGTCAAACCCTTCACTCTCGGCAAGACTGTTTTGACCCACAAAGCCATCGACCTCAAAGGAAAATGTATCCCTGCTACCATGCACAACGTTCCAATAGCTATCGGTCTCGGGAAGCATAAGTTCAGCTCCATAACAAGTACTTGGAGGAAAAGGAGGAAGCTCATGATCACAGTTCTCATCATTAGTATTGATAGATTGATAACCACATTCAGACTCATGTGGCCACCCATTGTATGATAATTCACTAGAGTTTTGGTTGTTGGTAGCTTCTGTTTGGCTTGTTGGGTTGAATAACTCGGAAATGAAACGTTGGGATTCGTCAGGAGAGATGAAGGAAGTGACTGAGGAGCCACGAGGCATGTCGGAGTAGACAAAGTTGGTCCGAGCAGTCAACCCTCTTATGGACCGTGCCGCTCTATCATAGGCCAATGCAGCCTCCTCGGCCGTATCAAAAGTACCTAGCCAGTACCTCTCTTTTGTAGTAGGGTTTCTTATTTCAGCTGCGTATCTTCCCCACGGCCTCCGTCTCACTCCTACATACTTTATTTCTTCATTATGTTGTGGTTGCGGCTGCTGTTGTTGCTGCTGCTTTTGCCTATGACTCTTTTTTGATCTAGAGGAGGAACTGACATAAGAATTACCATTCAATTCCATGTTAGTAAGTGTTCTTTTGCTGACACTGAAAAGAAGAAATGATATGGAGATCAGGAGATAAGTTGGAAGTGATGGATTTGGTTATATGGAACAATGAAATGTGTGTTTAAATAGATGAGGCCACTTTCACTATGTGAACCCTCTTGTTTATTCTAAAGATCCTTTTGCGAATTTTATAGATACAAAAAGTGGGTCACATGGAAATGTGCAACATCAGATGATCATCACCATCTAATCATATGATCGAAAGTGAAATGATTTTTGTGGCTTTTGGGATTGGCCCAAAAATCATGTAAGCAACGAATTGTTCCTTTTCCTCTTGTTTTTAATCTTCTTTTTTCTTTTCATCTTTAGGCATGCTATGTTATCTTTGGGAACGTGAGATTCTTTGTGCCTACTTATGATCACTTGTAGCTGTACCATGTTTTGGTTTTCAGTTATGAGCTTTGATAATAGGACATAATGAACATTCTCGGAATCAACTTGCGGTCTGAAAATTCGGCAACTTATCAATCCTTAATCGTTTTTTCTTGTGGTTCTCAATCTTTCAGGTGGCAAATATACACATGTAAAATCAAATTTCCATGAAACTGAACAGTTTGTTGTCAAATTATATTGTCATCTATTTTTTTCCATTTACATATATAATTTTGCTATTTAAAAAATTTGTCATTTATTTTTGCCATTTACAAAATTGACTATGCCAACTTGTCCATTTTTTATTGAACAGAACTAATATGCATCCTTAACTTTTTATTCGTTTTTTTTTTAAATTATCACGAGATTCGCAAAACTTAATTTCCCAGACTTAAAACCACAACATATAATATTAGTATTGTCCCAACAATCACTCGAATTGAGAACCTCTAAAACAATGGTCAGGAGTTTTTACAGTTGAGGTAATGTGACTTCTAATCAGTTTTTCTAGAAAATGATCGAGTTGTTTTGTGATCGAGGAGCTGCCTTGTGAATTTATCATATATGTTCCACTTGATCTAATGATGGTCTAATCACATGCTTTAACAATACTCATGATTGCAAGCCCTAAAATCTCTTGGATCTAAATGATTGCTTCCTTTTCTTTTCGTCACGATTTATCCGATTTTTAATTATTTACATTATTCCACCATGACTAAAAAGGAAGCAGTTTATATTAACATTATAGAAACTTTGCTTTAGAAAACCATTTGTTCTCGTTTTCTTAATGCTATTCCAATGCTTTTATGATTATTAGCATGAATGTTAACATGCTCTTTATCCCCTAAAGAAAGTAAACTACAAATACATCGTATGATAGTATGGTGTATTATTGTTTGCTGGTTCCAGTCGAATTGGTAACCCTTGATGAAATTTTATATTTTTGGAAGTACTAGTTGATTTGTTATAAATTTATTTTACACTAAAAAGTGTAGTAATTTCTTACGCATATAATTATCACAACCTCTTGTTTACTTGTAGTAGGGTCAAATGAATTCATGCGATAAGCAATAATTTTATGTTTAACGAACATAAATAGTGGAAATCATAGATGATTTTTTTTTTTTTTTTTGAACACAATGGAAATCATAGATGATAAACCTTATAATTTGTGTTCTAAATAGACATGGAAATTGTGTCAAAAAAAAAAATAGGACATGGAAAATCATTATATTCGAAAGAAATTACCTCTAACTCACTAAGCTATCATATGTAACATGTTGGTTCATTACAACAACATCTGTGTGCTTCATCAACTGGTATCAGAATCAATCCAATTCTTAAATATTTTGATATATGAATCATAATGAGCATTTGAACCGTTTAATGTTGTGCGTTTACGCTGCTACTTCGGTCGTTTAGCCAGCGGAATCCAGAAAAAGCCCACATATTCGGCCCATTTAACTACGTTATGTCGTTCCATCATTACCAAAGCCAAATGCACGCCGTTTTTATGTAACTCAAACGCTTCGTTTACATTGGGAAAAAGCGAAACGTCTGTTACCTTTTCTGCCCTTCCAATCAAAATTGATGAAATCTTTTGGTTTCCTCTTTTTCAGAAATTTATTTCCCCTAAAGTTTTGTTTTTTATTTTCGTCAAAACATTGCACAGAGTGCTCCCCAAAGATCAAAGTTTGCTCCTTTGAATCGATCTCCGTGTCTAGGTAAATGGGTTTCCTTCTCTCTTTATATAATTTGCCATTGATTAAGTTTAAATCTCCGTTTGTTCTTTTTTGGATTCGGAGTTTAATCAGATTTGTGGATTATTGATGAATCAAAGGAATGATCTTTATTGAGTATCAGTTGATTACAAGAAAACCCTTTTTACTATTTGTAATTGTACTGTGCAAGAGAGTTTTGTTTAGTCATCTGTTGTGTGGTGTTAGTGAGGATGCAGAATGAAAATGATACGGTGAAGGATGATGCGGAGTTAGCTGCATCAATCTCGGCAACGCAAGAAAAAGAATGGGGATGTTGCTCAGTGCAAGAACCATCTTTTCAAGAAGAGGAAGCTGCCAAAGTTCCTTATCTTGGTGATAAGGTCTGTTTACCAAATATCAAACTTTAATCTATGAATCAACTTAATTCTCTGTATCATGTTTTTGCTGCTCAGATTTGTTCCATGGAATGTACTTGAATGACACTCCCTATGAGTTGCTTTGAAGGATTATGATTTTTGGTTTTAATCATGTGCAGGAACCTCTCTCTAGTTTAGCTGCAGAGTACCAAGCAGGGAGTCCCATTTTGCTTGAGAAGATTAAGGTTTCCTTTCTGCTACTTCTTTCTTTTGTTTTTGTGTCGATGTGGTTGTTGCTTTCAGTGTTTTTTTAAGGTCTCGTTGTTTGCAATACTTGTAGATACTGGACAGTCAGTATGTTGCAATCAGGCGGACTAGAGGAGATGGAAATTGCTTCTTCCGAAGTTTTATGTTCTCTTACCTTGTATGTTCCCTCACAATGTTTAATACTATGTCTAGTTAGTTGCCTTGTGAGTTTGGCTAAAGTTTTGGTGTTTGTGATTTGTTTGTAGGAGCATATTTTGGAATCACAAGATGGTGCTGAAGTTGATCGTATCAAGGTCAATGTTGAGAAATGTAGAAAGGCTCTGCAAAACTTAGGCTATACGGATTTCACATTTGAGGACTTCTTTGCGGTAACCTTGCTTTGTCATCTTTTGTTTCTGCTATCTGATAAGACCATCTGAAAGATGCTCACTTTCGTTTTGTTTTTCTCTTAAATGATATAGTTGTTCCTAGAGCAACTAGATGACATTCTCCAAGGAGGCGAAGAGTCTATAAGGTAAATATTTTGTGTTGATAAGTTGTGACTTCCATGAAATTGCATAAGTCTCTTTCTCATGTTGTTTCACTACTTGTGTCAATATTTTTTATCTTCCAGCTATGATGAGCTGGTTAACAGAAGTAGAGATCAGTCTGTCTCCGACTACAGTAAGCTGCTCCTAAATTTCTTTGACAACTCATTTTCAACGGGATGTGGTTTTGACAAATTCTGCTGTCTCAGTTGTGATGTTCTTCAGGTTTGTTACTGCTGGTGAAATACGTACTCGTGCAGAGTTCTTTGAGCCCTTTATAACAGGATTATCAAATACCACAGTGGATCAGGTTTGTGCATTAACTTTGAATTAAAGAATTGAATTCCTCCTAATAGATTATTAGAGCATAGGGGTATGCAAAGTTCTTACACTGTTTTATCACAGTTTTGCAAGACATCAGTTGAACCAATGGGGGAAGAGAGTGACCATATTCACATAACAGCTTTGTCAGATGCACTTGGTGTTGCAATCCGGGTTGTGTATCTTGACCGTAGCTCATGTGATACTGGAGGTGTCACTGTGAACCATCACGACTTTGTTCCCGTTGGCACTAATGATGAGAAAAAAGAAGCTTCTGCTGCTGCTCCTTTTATAACCTTGCTGTATCGTCCAGGCCATTATGATATCCTCTACCCCAAGCCTTCTTGTAAGGTAATAATAAACACTTAATCCCCATGTAAACCTCTCTTCCTTTAGATATTTACCTGGTGTTTAAGTTAATGATTGTGTTGTTACTTGTTACAGGTATTGGACAATGTGGAAAAATGATCATTTGACATATGGTAAAACCTGTTGGGAGGTGTTTACAAAACTGTGGTAATATGGATTCACGTGGATGAAACCATGGTTACATCATCTCTTTGCTCCTTGATTATGATCAACAATCCTTTTGCAACATTTGAAAATGGATTTTTTGTTTGTTTTACTATAATACTCATGATGAACTCCTTTTATAGTGTACCAAATTGAATCAAAGGGTTTGTCATATGAACAATGAGTCAATGACAGAGGTCTAAGATTGTTTTAATGGGTTGAGTTAATCTCTCTAAATTGAATTTAAATACATTTCATGATAAAGAAAAACAAACCATTACAATCGTTGGTCTATACATAAATGCTAAAACATCAAAAATGTAGCAGAATAGTCCAAGAAGATAAGTCATTATGCTTCTCTGTCTTGCCTTTGTCTGCTTCCACTTTTCAGCGAAGGAGTAGTACTTCCTTTCTGTCCACAATCCTCGAAAAACTACTGGAGAGATTCAGTATAGATGGTGTATATTTTATATCTCCTTTATTGTTTGTCACTTTCTTCTTTGGAAACTCGTCCCAAATGAAAACTTAGTTCTAACTAAACTATTCAAACGAAAAAATAATGGAGTAGTCAGTACGTTACATAAAGGCCAATAAAACACGTTTTCTCACAACAAAAGAATATTCACTTGGATAATTTTTTTTCTGATTGCAAGAAGTTCTAGGCCAAAGCCTATAATCTCTATAGGGCATGGAGAAGAGAGTTAGTTGCTAAATTTTTTTCTCGCAGCTGATGAGCTCGAACCTGACACTTATACCATTAGAGCATTTCAATTGGCAAACCCTCCCAATCTCGATTCCCCATGTAAAATTTTGATTATTTTACTTTAAAACAAAAAAACAAAAAAAAAACTAATAATCTAACTATTCACGGACTGCCATGTGGCGAACCCCTGATGAACCGGGTTTATCCTAGCGAACCTGCAAGACCCGGATTCACCGAAATCATCATTTTTTTTCTTGATCCGCGTGTAAACTTCCCGCACAAACCTTCAATGCGGATGCTCTTAGTTTTAGTTGAGATATCAGGTCTGGGTGACTTGGATGATTTAGATGGCCAATTAAACATTATAGTCATTCGAGTATGTGGTTTAGATGTACCGGAAGTTTTAACCAATATGTAAACTAAATTTTAGACGAACCTACGTACATTTAATTTGTGATGTATGTCTTGCTCAATTTCTTTTGAAAAGTTAAGTTTAATCTAACAATGGCAAAAAATATGAAGTGTTAAGAGAAACAACTAGAGAAGTTAAAAGAACAACAACCACTGGATGAGGTGATTTGTTTTGAAGTTATAGTATTACATGAAGATAATTTAAGCACATGTTGGTTTTGATTTGGTGAGATATGACATGTTGTAGAAGATTATACTCCCTCTATTTTATACTAATGTCTTAGGAGATTTTTTGTATTGACTTAATGTTAGCAAAAAAATCCTAAAAGTGAAAAGGACAATAGCTAAGTAAAGCCAAGAAACAAGGAGAAACTGAAGGCAAAAGGTGAAGAAATTTTGGATGAGAGGAAAAGAGGGAGTGGTAGGTATAGAAGCATGTTCTATATTTGGTTTAACAATTCCCACCATAACAAATAATTTAGTTTTGCCTCTAACGCCTAAACCTTACAAAAAGACACACACACACACACACTTGTGTTACCGTTTAAAGTGAGTCACAGCCTTTCCTTTTGACCTAACCCTCTCTACCCTTCGCGTTCTCCATCTAACTTTCCACTAGCATAATATACACTTATACTATATGTGCGCATTCACCCATATATGAATAATATCTTTAGAATAGAAACCAGTCGTTTCTATAATATGGGTTAAAGGTATGTGAGAGTTATACATGGTGTATAAGATCTTGGCTTTCGATATGGTTACTTAAGGGTTAGAAAAAGGTTCTGAAATCTGCTATGTACTCGTTTATAGTATAGACAGACTTGTGCATACAAAAACAGACATAAACTGGTTGGAATGTTTTCTTTATTAATCATATAAAAATGGTTCATAACTCATGCTATTCTTTTGTTTAGGGCATGTAACCTACATGTTAAACATACAAATTACGACGAAGAGTCAAAAGTTTTGTATGAACTCTAAGTAAACTAAAGTAAATTCAAGCCAAAAGGTATTAAGACACAAATCAAGAGAATAGGACACAGAGAAAGGTTGGATTCTAGACTTCTAGTTAGTGTTTCTGTCTGTAATTATTATGAAAAACAGTAAATAAAAGAGGATAATGAGAACAGAAGGATATAAGAGACAAGACGTGAGAGGGTGGGGATGGGCCATTCCCACTCCTTTAGCCAACCCATAAAGGCAAAAGTTGTTTTGCAGTTTCAGACCAAATGGAGTCTGTTTCTTCCCTTTTATTCTATTTTTTTTCCTGTACTTTTAGTTACCAACAAAATGATTATTTATATATGAATATTGCAATCCAAATTTTCTATATGTATGTGATCATTTCGATCAAGTTCTGTTTTTCGTTCTTAAGAAATTTATATGTTTTTGTTTATTGTAGATTTGCCAAGTTTTTAGATGACTCACCATTGTCAAATATATATATGTTTGTGTGTGTTCAACTAAATTATGACATCTATAAGTGTAGTAAAAAAATCTATAAATTAAGACCCCATAGACTAATGTTTTACCAGATGCTCAAGACGGATCTGAGTAAGAGAAATGGTAGGATTAATTTCCGGCGACATTCTCGAGTGGGTAACATTGTTACCTTGGCCCCATTATCATCATCATCGCCACCAATGTCATATTTCTATCTATCTCCGTGATGGCTACGTTCGTATAAGTCTTATGTGTCAATGAGCAATCATATCTCGTTTGACAAACCATCCTAGAAAGCATTGAACAATGTTCAAAAAGATATTTGACATGGTACTCATTTCAAATGTATAAATGGTATGATCCCTGTTAAATCATATCTTTCGTAAAAAAGTTAAAAATGCGTTTGATACTTTTTTGCATTTGGTGCGTTTTTGTCATAAAAAGATTCGTTATTAACTTGAAAAGAACAATTGAGAGACGTAGCCTCGTAGCCACTGGTATAAAATTATTAATCAGTTTATTTATATACATGTGGCTCGATGAGTTACATCGTCTGATATAGTTTTTGGAATTGATGTTTGAATGCCTACAAAAAGAATGTAGACGTTTAAAAATATTGTACTATTATTTTATGTTTTCCTTATTTTTATCAGAAAGTTATTTAGCTTTTTTACAAATTATAATTATGTATAAAATACATCAAAAAGCTTCGACGAAGAATAAGAAAAGGGTAAAAAGACTTGGCTTACACTCAAAGCTCCCCAAAAGCGTATTATAGAAATCATTCCATGCACATTCTCCGAAAAAAAAAAATTAGAATTCATAAAACTTACCACTTTTTAAGTGTTAAGGCAATTTCTATTTATAAACACGTTTGGAAAAGGATAAATCTCTTTTCAATTAAAATGGTGTTGGTAGAATGACGAGAAATTAATTTAATAAAATGAAAATTTAAAAGGAGAAATGATTTGGCCTTGGGAAAGATGGAGAAAGCTTGGCGTGAAGCATCAAATTGGGTGTAAACAATGCCCTTTTTGTTTGTTTCCTTTTAACCAGCTTAATTATCGTTGTCTTGGTAGTATACTGTTATACTTTTAGGGTTTACTCATAACAATACATGATACATTTAATCTAGGATTAGGAGCAGTGATTTAACCGATCGAAAGAGTATTATTCAATACAAAGAATAAAACTAGTGACCAGAATAACACTGTATGAATAAAAATTAGTTCCACATTCTCTTTTACACAACTTCTCAAATTTTCCTATTTAAAAAAAAAAAAATCTCAATATGATTTTAAAGCTTCTTGATTCAGTTATTTTACAGCACGCATTCGGATTAGCAGTATGTAAATGTTCTTGATCAAATATTTAATTGCAAATAAGTTTACATAATTTAAAAACTTTAAATCCTAAATTAATATTTTGTACGTTTTGGTGTTATATTATCTGAACAAACTTTTTGTTTTGTTTTGTCAAATTAACACTTTTAATGAATTTATTCTAGTCACCGAAATAGCTTAGTGAAGCATATATATATATATATATTCAAGATTCACAGGTTTTTTGTCAGAACGCAAAAAATGTTTTATGTACAAATTTGATGTTTTATATAATATGTTCACTATTGATATGCCCAAAACCATTTTTGAAGGATTTATTTATTAATCAAGTGAAATATTTTTTTATCTGTATCTTGTCACCTAACGGAACTATTGCGGTGAACACCATCACATTTAAATTTCAGTGTAATATGAGCCGAAATAATCTCAAACAAAAATAAAATGTCGAAAAGGTAACCTTTAAAGTAATAAAATTGCTGAAAGGCATAATTGCATTCAGTGGTCTCTGCGAGTGCCATTGTTAAAAGCTCCTTTACACGCATACCATACCACTCTTGTCGTTGTAATTCTCAAAATTTTGGCCTTTTTCTTGTTTATCGACCATGCCTAGCTAAAATTGTAATTTATAACTGGACCACACTCATGTTCTTCTCAATCTACTATTGTTTTATTGTATAATTTACCAGTTACGAGACACAGAATTCTCTTTAGGTCGATCTGTTTTTTTTTACCTATTATAGCTAAGTTATTGTGTTTATCTCTAAGTATTTTAGACTTTCTGTGATTTTGTAAATATTTTTTATTAGATGAAGGATTTTGTTAATTACATTGTGAAAATAGTAAATGCAAATGTCAAACGCACATATACAATTTACAAATATGTTTGATAAACAAACTAATCTTCTGTAAATTTTTAGTGTATAATATACTAATAGCAGACATTCATACAAACACAATATCTCTATCTTAAACAGTCAAATTGTTACTTTCAGACTTCTAGTATTTTTTTTTTGTTTTTTTTCATCATTAGCAGTTTTGTTATTGTGCTAAAGTCTTGATTAAACATTTTTTTTTGCTCAAAAAACGATTAGATTGATGAAAGTCGTTTGAACGTGTTTTTCATGGTTGATGCTGAACTGCATTGGACGCAGAGATGGTGTTGTTGCATTTTAGAAAGGATTCCTCATGTCCACTATGCCACTAAAAAGACATTGTGCATAGGTGGTGTTGTATTTCTCTTTTTGTTTTGTTTTTTTTTGGTAAAATGGTGTTGTATTTCTTTCTGCTTCTTTGGTATTATTCCTGTATATCTTTAAAAATAATGT